TTTTGCGCGCTATGGATACATCAATCATCTTCTTGCGTTTGATAATATCTTTTGTAGCATTTCACGGTTTTTGCCTGGGGGAGATAGCTCAATTGGTCATGACGGGGAGGGTGGATAGATTGTTCAATTGATCCAACGCACTTTGGTCCCCAAATCTTTTAGCTACCATAAGACGCACCATGGAGGCTTAAATCTTGCAACTACCCAACCCCTTCCTCATCCCCCCTCCCTCCGCAAAATTTCACCTTCGCCTCTATTCACTGGCGATTTGAGATGGTAGACTGTTGAACAAAAGACCCAGTTACACAAACTTGACCTCTTCTCCAGATGATATTGGAACTCCAATTAATGCAATGCGCCCTATTATTCCACCTTTCAACCTTAAACCATTTGTGAACCAGATCTGCACTGTTCCAAAATAAGAGCGACTAATCAGAGGGAGGTAACTTGCTTAATGCAGTCTTCGTAAACTAAACTATCTCACGTTTTTCATAAGTCTACTTGCTTTAGATCTTACCCGGCTTAAAGGAAAAATCCATAATTATGCTGAGCTGAAAACTTAACAATTTTGATCATTTCAGTGTCACCAGCTGTGTGAAAAACGGAATTTGAAAAAGCGCAGCGTATTTGATTCAAGCAGACTGTTCAATTCATTTTTGAAAACAAAAAAAGTACAAGTTTTTTTTCGAAAACATCTATGCACAAAGCATCAAGTAACAGACAGCTCGAATCAAAGGGAAATTTTGAGGCTCAAAATTGCAATGATTTCAAAAGTTTGACTAAATTTAAAAAAAAAAACGCGTTGACTCTAGTATTGCATAACTGTCACAGCTTTTGAGGTAAGTAGCAATTTTTTTTAAGCTTTGGTTGTTTTCAAAACAATTTCGGCGATCAAATGAAAAGCTTTCAAAAAACTACTTTAAAATCGTAATCATAATCGTGTAAATCGTCTGAGTTCAAATTCAAAAAGATTTTCGAGATGATCTTCAAGATAAATGGTACAAATTGTTGATTGATTTGAAAATGCCTCTAGGGATGAACCTGCTCGTTTGGCTTCTAGTTTTGCAGAAAGTTGCAAAAGTAGAGTATACATTTCGCATTTGCAAAAATAGGGTGTTTTCATGGGTTTATTAAGTAATAAAATTGATTGCCGATATAATCCATTAAAATCATTTAGTTTCCATGAAATCTACCTAATAAAATCCCCCTTCCCCCAATTCATGAAAGGGAAATTGCTTAGAGCTAGATTTTGATATCAACAAAAATGGATGAGCCGCTAAAATTTTTTGTTAGAATGAAGTTCCACAAAAACAAAAAGAGTATCACAGAGGCAATCAAAATTATTTTTATAACTCGCTGAAAAGTTTTGAATCCAAAAGTATAGTGCATTTTTCAAATGCATAAAAGAAACACCTGTGATTAATTTACTTGTTTATGGTGTATACTCAATCAACTGTTAATTGTTCCGATCATTGAAAAGGGGGAGGAACTTTGCCTTTGCGTGTGTTCAAGTTTTTTTCCAAGCAATCAGCTAGCACAAAAAATCATCAGACAATGTTGAGTGAAATATCATATCAAAGACATTTCAGTCGTGATTTGAATATCATTTAAAAATTTTGTAAAAGTTTTCACAGCGACGAGAAAAACCGGTTTGAAATTTTTGATTTTTTGTCTAACTTCGAGCTAAGAAGTAAGTAATTATTAATTGCATTAGCTTATTTAATTTAAAATAAGCCGTGCGGTGAAAACTTGGTTTTACTCAACTAAAGGTCGTTTTTGGAGTTTTTAGCGCAATTTAGGAATCAAAAACTGGAAAATTCAAAAGTTTTCCGCAAAAAATTTTGAAAAATAGTTTGAAGTTTTTTTTCTTTTTTTTTTGTTTTTTTGTCAGTTTTATTCAAACATTGTTTTCCACTTGGCCTATTTTTCTAAGGCTTTCAAATATACCTAAGTTTCAGTTTTTCGCTCAAACTTTTTCATCACAATATGCAGAAAAAATTGACACCAAATTGTGTAAACTTTTTTTGTATTTTTTAAGACTGTGGTCGGAACATTCTGTGCTACTTGTTCAGTAATTGGCTATCCTTGTTTAGGTCTGTAAACAATTTTCACTCAATTTGAATACAAATTATCATCTATATTCAATTTTTTTCAGATCATCTAATTAGTTAATCGTCTATTTTCTTAGCCCCCAGAATGATACTCCCAAATGACAAAAAAATACGTTCGATCATCAATTCTGTTTTTCTTGGTCAGCATGACACATCCCCCCCCCCCAGTTCACAGCCCCCTCTTTAACTAAAAATTTGAGGTGAGGGGGTGACGTTGGGACATGGCATTTAGTAAAAGGCATAACATACATTTTGCAAATTTCCTGCAAACTTTTAAAATTTCTGGAAAATTAATCGAATTGAGTTCTAAAATTAAAATGGATTATGATCAATTCTAATGGAATATAATGGATCTTTGTTTCAAATATTGTCAATTATAATGGATTATCCTGGCAAAATTAATCGATCTCAGTGCCAAAAACAATGGATTATAATCGATTATAATGGATTATAATGGATTTTTATTTCAAACAATCGATTATAATGGATTGATTTGGCAAAAGTAATCGATTTCAATAACAAAAAAAATGGATTTTAATCTATTATAATGGATTATTTTTTTTTCTTCAAAAATAACCGATTAAAATGGCCAGTAGCGGATTTAGGGGGGGACGCCTCTTTTCAGGGATTTGACCCCCTGCCGACACATACGGTCTCCCCTTTGTTCTATTTTGAGGTATTCATTTTTGGATGTTGGATGACTGACCTTAAAATTTTTCTAAAGGCGTCTTCGGCGCCAATATACACTAATTTTAATAAGGGAGCGCGCGCCGAAAAAACGCGACTTTTGTTGTCGAGATTTTCAATAAAGTTCATAAAAACGCCATTTTGGCCTATTTTTTGAAAAAATTGGCTGCGGCGCAGAAAATTTGGCCAATTTAGGGTCTTTACATAGATTTGGCAGAGCTCAAAAAATCAATTTGATCGACCTAAAAAAAGTCGAGAAAAATTTCTAAAACCGACCCCCTTCGAGAACGACCCCTTCGAGAAATTCCTAGATCTGCGCCTGATAACGGCAATATAATCGATTTCGTTGTCTGAATTTTACATCTGTAACGGATTATAATGGATTATTTTTGTCTCGGAAATCCATTATAACCGATTAGAGTCCATAGGCGCTCGGTGCGGGATTGCTATTGATCGAGTATTGCTTTGTCCATGAAAAAAATTTAAATACCTGCGTAATTGTTTTATTCACCTTGGATCCTTGCTTTGTCTATGAAAAAAATTTAAATACCTGCGTAATTGTTTTATTCACCTTGGATCCGCCCGTTGTGTTACTAGAAAAACTGTTCTGTAACATTTATTATACTGATATATTATGAGTTTATATTGTAACAAAAACACTTAGTTCAGAAAATTTAGTCTTACAGTTCCATCCCTGTTTTCTGGAGCAAATTTGAAATCAAGAAACAAACCGATGATTGATTATATGCTGTTTAATTTCATAATTCTTTTTTCGCCAATTAAATTGTTTTTTTTTAATATAACTTTCCCAGTTACGAAATGAAGGTCACACGACGTAGGATATAACAACGAACCCATCGAGTGTTTTGTTTTCTGGAAAAAAATTTGCGTCACAAGAAATAATGTCTGATTAAGTTGTTCATTAAAATACTAGGATGAAACTGTTTGAATTATTATACTCAGCGGGTTTATGGGTAGTGGGGTTACTGTTTTATGATATCCATTGGTTGAACAACAAAAAAATTTAAAATTGCCTTAGGCGGCTACAAGCAATATATTTGAGGGTTGAATGCATCAATTTGAATGCATTTATCGAAATCTTCAAAAAATGCTCTAAAGACATTTTTGGCCTATTGATTATTCTATTGAGTTCCAGAAATTTTTAGTCCAATGGTTTTGTAGAAAAGTATCAAAGAAATATTTTGGAGCCTCCCTGGAGAAAATTCGATATGGCACCTGATTATACGTCAAATACAGTGTCTAGCGCATGTATCAATTCAAACATTTTTTTAGCTCTGATTACAGTCTACTGGATTTTTTTCTTAAGAAAACCTCCGTTTTTGAGTACTTTTGGAGAATTTTAACCAAAAAAAAACAATTGAAAAATTTAGCAACCAGATTTGACTATCGAGAAAACCCTCTATTGGATTCTGCATTGGATTCTGCTAAAACAAGTTCGATACTTCAAAAACTTTCAAGTTAGTAGGACCAACTTTTTCCGACCTAAACTACTTGAACTTAATCAGAAACTGTTTGAAAAACTTGACAACCAGATTTGACTATCACAAAAGCAATCACCCCCTCCCCTAGTTGCCACGCTACTTGCATTTGATTTGATTCTCATTCCTCTAAACGGATGGGACATTTGTATACATGATGTTGTCCATTGTACTTGATCCATTTATTGGCAACCCACTTCACACCAACTAGCACAGGACAAGCTGCATGGAAAGTTTCCTCAATTCCTGACCCATTTCTGTCCAAGTTATACCAGAAGACAGCTCCGCCTTTTTCAGGAGTGACGTTTATCCCTACATCAATAAAAGCTGTCGTGCCGCCCAGCTCCACATCTGAGAGGTACATGAGGACAGTGGCCACTCGGTTTCCGTCGGCTAAAAAAGCTTTCGCATTTTCGCTCTGGTCGGTTTCGTAGGCAAAGTCGTAATGTGCTTGGTAGTGACCTCCGACTCCGTAGTTAGCGATCTGGAATTATGCAAAGGTTTAGAGTCTCTTTTGTTCCGAAGATGTCGAAGAGCGAGAAGGAACAATGGCATAGAGCCAACTTTTCCCCGCGCAATTAGAGCTGATCAAAAAACTCCAAACGGTCAAGCGTGATATCATATTGAATATCATTCAGCCGTGATTTGATTTCTAAATGCACTAACAAAACAGTTTCAATGTCTAGTCTAGAAAAGGGGAGGACTTCAGCTAAGGGACTAATTGATTATTAAACTAACTTATTTTAAACTAATTAATTAAAACTAATTTATTATTAAACTAACTTATTTTAAACTAATAAATTAAAACTAATTTATAATTAAATTAACTAATTTTAAACTAATTAATTAAAATTAATTTATTATTAAACTAATTAATTTTAGTAAGAGCGTAGTTTTTCTGAAACGCAACGCTGTAACGAGCCGAATTATTGATGTTTTGGCGTGTCTTATCTCTATAGCAAAAATATACATAGTCAAAATAGCAGACCCTGAAGCAAAGGATATTACCGAAATTTAATATTACTATGAAGAAATTTACGAAACGAGAAATGAGTTTCCTTCAAAATGGTGATTAAAAGCTGTCCCCGATTATATGTTAGATGACATCGGAGTTGGTTAGAATGCACTTAAGACACGGCTTTAAACTTTACGACTGCTCGTATCAGGGCAAAGCTCGTATCAGGGCAAATTTAAAAAAAAGAAATGAATTTTTTTTTAATTTGAAATTTTTTGTGAAAATCATCCCCCCACACGCCATATAAAGCACAAAGTGATACATTTTGCTCCTAGTAACACATCAATTATGGCATTTAAGCTTCCTTCAACCATTTTGAAAAAATTTCTAATATGAATTAAATCTCCGCTTACGCGTTCATAGCGCGAATTATATCGCGCATAAATTGTCCCAAGTTGGTCAAAATGACAATCTTCAAACCGCCATAACTTTACGAAAAAAAATCACAGAAAAAATACCTTTTCATAATTAAGATCAGAACAACAACACCTTTTGAACGATATAAAAAACTCAGACAAAAAAAAACTATTTAAAAAGTCGAAGTTTGTCAGAAGAAAAAAAAACCCATCCAGAGCACAAATATTCCGTTACTTTCGTTACAACATACTGTGCTGATTTAAATTATCCGGATTAAAAGGAGTGAAAGAATGTCGGCAATAATATTTTTCGGCAAAAAACTCTCCTTAGTTAAAACTAACGTGTTTTTACAGACTTCTGTCCCAATAAACTTCAAAATAAATTTCAAAAAACCAAAAAAAAACTTTGCTTTACCTTTCTTGGTTTTTTTCGCTTCGTCATAAAGCCATATTTTTAAAGGAATATTGAATAAAAAGTTCCTATATCTACAGCTTGGGACTACTTTGAGAAATGCCGTAAGATGCAAAATGGACAAATGTTGGAGCCAAAAACATCGACGGCCCGAAAAAAACTACGTGATTGCAAAAAAAAATTAATTTTGTTAAGTCTCGGAAGCTTCTAAAAAACAACCAGCTTTTAATTTATCAGCCAGAAAAATTCATTAAATTGTTCAAGCACGAGTCAACACCAAAATACTCCAAACTTCATGCATAAAACGCCAAAAGTTTTGAGAAAAATCCAAATTACATCGTTATCATCCAAATCACTTCACAAAATCACTTATATGCAAAGTTTGTTGGAAAAAGGGTGATGTTGAAACCTCTAAAAAAAATTTAGGGAATGAGATATTGTATTCTTCGATGGAAACGTTAATTCGGCCGAATATTGCAAATTACTCGAAAACAAAAAAATTGGAAGTATTTTAAACGATAAAAATTAAATAGACAATACCTGTTACCATACTTTAAACTATTTCACAACTGTTTCACACTTACTCTAACAGGCTTATATGGGAGCATAACTTGAAGTTAAATAGCAGTTTTTTTTTAAAAAAAATGGTGTTCACAAAAAAGTAATCAAACAATTGTTGCTTTTTGCTTAAACTTTATCTGTATTTGTTGTTAGTTTTTACTTTTTTTTCAGTCAGGGTATTTTAAATCAGTACTGTATGGCAGCAAAATTCTTTAATAGTCTCAATCCAATTACTAGTGAAGTGTCATTTGCGAAAAAGCTAAGCGGTCGAATATCAAGGTAACTTATTCAAAAATTTCATGCATTCGTTTCTCCTGCAATTTATTACACGGTATGCGCTTGTTGTTATATAAAACTCCAAGGTGAATTATTTATTGTTTTCCATTGGTGTCGATATGTTTGCAATTACTACAAGGATAGCCAGTTAAAGTGCAGTATATATTCTGACTATATCTTCTAAAGAATAAATTTTTTTCCAATTTAGTGTCGTTTTTTTCTGGTGGTGTGATAGTAAGATCTAAACAAAAAAAATCAATTTAGGCATATGCGACAAATATAATCAACTAAGCCACTTGGAAAAAAAATTTTGTAGGAAAATAACTAGAAAAACGGGAAAAAAATTGCATAAAAAATTAAGAACTTTTTTTTGGAGATATTTTTGAGTTTTTAAAGTTTTTGATTCTCAAAATGGCGCTAAGAACATCAACAACTATTCTTGTTTGGGTATAACTAAGTTCACGGCTTAAATTAAGCTTAGATAAGCTACTATATGCCTGCAAAAAATTTTTTGACAAACTGTTTAGCTCGAATATAGTCGTTCGAATCACTAATGAAAGTGCTTTAATTTGATATATAATTCAATCGATTCGGAGGATTTTTTGTGGTGCTTGAATTTGCGCGGAAAAAAAAGAAAAAAAGCAAACCCGAATACAAAGTTCCTCAACATTTTTCAAATAGCCGGAACAAAAACTTAAAATAAATTTTCAAATTAAGCCTAGCGCAATGCGCGGCCCTCGGAGCGCATGATTAGCTGAAATATTAAAAAAGACTATAGGGATGATTTCTTTGACCAATTTTGACAAAATTGACCGACGCTGAAAAAGACAGTCACCAGCATCTTAAGATTATACTGTGTTAAGCAACCCTACCCAGCAGCTGCTTCGGTTTATCTCTGCGAAGCGAACTTCGGCCAAAGACCGGACACTTTTGGCATAATTTAGTCAGAAAACCATCGTATAATAATTTATCCTGAATGAATATTTTCTAATTTTCTGAAAGAGAGAAGTGGATGCTATCAAAGGAACCAATTTCTAAAATACTCTCCCTCACCCAAAACAAATCATTTCATACAGTGAAGCGCACTGAAAAAAAAAATTGAACGCACAATGTTTGCATAGTTTGATGCTCAATACTAGTTTAAAAAAGATGATGATATCCACGTAATCCAAGCTAACCTGTAGAGTTTCCATTCCCGCTCTTGTGAAATTGGTCATATCACTTATCCTCCGGGAGGTCGCTGCGACTGTCTCATTCAAAGAGTCATCCAACCAGCTAGACTGACTCACTCTGTAAGAAGCTTCAATGTACCCTGTATCACCCGCGACAGTTGATCTTTTCAGCGCAGAGAGTCCCAATTCTTTTAGTTTGTCAACTTCTTTGTCAGTGAGAAATTGATGCCAGAATTCAATGAAAGGACTTTTCGAAAGCACTTCGGATTTGATTGGGCGAATCGCCAATGATGGGTTCCAGTTTGTGGAGTACTTACACGCAGACCAAACTTTGAAACCTTTCATTTTTTGCCGTCTTTTGGAATCAGGAAAAGCACCAAATCGGCATAAATCTGTTTCTTCAACTGGCATACCATTTTTTTTAGATGCGTTTTTTGATTGCTGAATTTTTTCCAAAATCATTTCAGCGCCAATCTCGAGTCTGTCATTTTTGCCTGTTATCTCCAACGCTTTTTTTACTATGCGAAGTGCTTCACTGTAATTTCCCATTTCGTATTCACAATAAAACCAATAGTCATATAAGTCAACCAGCAGTTTATCATCATGAAGACTGGGACAGTTTTCGTCGTAGCATATGTTTTTTTTGTTGACTTCAGCCTTGGTCGACACGAATTTTTCCTCATATAGTTTGAAGTAATCAATACAGAATTGAAAGCTCTGTAGGTCGTGAGCCGCGACACCTAAAGTAAGACGTTTATGTCTGTTAGTTGGGAAAAGACTGTTAGTTGTTGTTCGGCTCTTTACGGGGAACCGCTGCTGTGTCTGGTTAAAGCCCGCAAGTCTCTTTAAGCTTTTCTGTTTGCTTAGTTTATTATAACAGATCAGGTATCATGACGGCTGCTGTTCCAATGCTCCAAAGTTCTACTTACATAATAAAATTATGTTCCATTAAAGCTGACAACAACTTTTGTTATGTAAATCTTACCCGACCTGAACTATCAACTGATGAACTTTGCGTTTATTACTAGATTATTTGGATCAGAAAGCTGGCCTTTTTAAAAAAAAAATAATTTTTCAGCAGTTAAAAAAAAATAATTTTTCAGCAGTTTGATTTCCTTGCCTACGCTTCTTGTTAAAAGCAAACTCAAAAAATCTGCGCTTTCTATACTCCATGTTAGCCAAAATGGCAATTTTCTAAATTCGTAATGCAATGGTCATAGCTTAACAAAAAATCGAAGATGAACTATTTTTTGAATTACAGCCCACACTATTAGTATTTTTCAGGCTCTACGATAGAAGATTGCTCGTATCGGGGCCAAAACGTGAAGGTTCCCTCTGCAATTCAACAGGTCTCGCAATTTTGAAAACAGAATTTTTGGATAAAGCAAAAATTTGTAGTTTTTTGTTGTTTCCCCCGTTTTTCCCCACAATCAATATCAATAACTACATGTTATAATTTGAGCCGTAAGGAGAATTAACATCAATGAATTTGAGATGAAAAACTTTCCCCTGCTTAAAAAATTTTTTTTTGTACCATGAGAAAAATTAGTACCATGAGAAAAATTGGCAAAAGACAGTTCAGGACAACAAATTGAAGCAGATATAATTAAGGGTTGGGTTGAGTTGCCAGCTTAAGAAATGATTGAGACAATGCCTCCGGTTCAAAGTGTAGAGTTGGACCCTACATCTGAGTTTTTGTAATTTTCAGGTTTTGAATTGTTTTTCAGTAGGAGTCTGACAACGATTTAAAACTCGCACCCAAATCCGAATTTATTTCATAATATGTAAGTTTAAACATATGTAATAGATCTATTAAAACAGAGTGCGTATCCAGTAGAAAGATGAAAGCAAAAACCGTTGCTCCCTTGATTTCCAATTTTCCAGAAGCTCGTTTAGGTTACCGCCAACCTCCGTTCTCGAATTTGGCTGTTAACTACTCGGAACGTTTCATGTAACCATTCGTCAATATTACGGAAAACACTAGGGTTTCCGATTTACTTGTTTAATGACCGCGCAATTTAAAATGAATTGGCTCCATCCATGTACACAAGTTCATATGTGATGGCTATCAGGCGTTCAATCTCTAGGCAAGGTAAATTGGTCAGACAATGAAACCAATTTGTAGGAGATGAAAAATAGTTTATACTTTGATTCAAAAATGGAACTGAATAATTCCCTCGTCGCTCGTTCTCAAAAGCTTTAATTGAAAGTATAATCAACCTAGTGCACCGTATCAAACGTGGAGCAAGAGAAAGAATGGTGCGCAGCTGTGCACAGCTGTGCGCGTGTGTTCTACGCAATCATAGAAACAAAAATATTGACCGTAGAGGTTTTGAGTATGACCATGTGCTTATTTGAAGTTCATTTGACGCCAGTCCGCTCACTTCTGTTACCAAGTATCACAGAAGTCTCAAGGCTATGACACTGAATCAAGGCTGTGAACCTCCAGGCTCAGCGCAGTCTAATGTTTCTGTCTTAGAACTTGGTAGAACATATCATGCTAATAATTTAGTCGGTTGAAATTGAGTGTATGAGATATAAATAATTGAGTGATTCTTTTTTTGATGTAAAAGTTATCAGCCTAACTTTTTGTCAATTAATCAATCGACTTTTTAATCAACTAATAATCGATTTTTATCTCTCTTTTTGAAATCAAAAATAATCAAATATAATACATTATAATCGATTATTTTTATCCGAATTTTTAATTCATTTGTTTCGCAGAAAAAAATCGGCAGATTGATAAACCAGTTTGAAGCGATTGCTTAATATCAAATAAAACAAATCGATTTCTGACTTTGCTTAAATTTTGCAAGTTAGATGCAAACTAAAAAGAAAACAAAAAAATCACTTAGGTTTTTGTACAAAATACATGGAGTAGCTGCTCATACAAGAAGTATTTCTACTTTCTGTTTTTCAGATAAGTTTCACTGATTGTTGGTTTTCAGAATTGACAAGCTCGCTTCTGAGAAAAGTAACAAAATTGGACGTCTTCTAAGGCAATTCTTTTTTGTACATTTTCTATGGCTTTAGTTTTTTTTGTGTTAAAAATTTCCGACCAGCGCTTTAAGTAAAAATATTCCCGGGGAAATTTCAATTAGTTGAATGTATAATCTTAGATATGGCGCAATAGGTTTTGAGAAAACACAAGAGAACACAAGAACTAAACAAAAACGGGACAAACATTCCTTCCATTGAAATTTTTGAAGGCTGTAGAAATAGAACGCAGGTAAAAAAAACAAGGGAAACAACAAGCACACAGAATAGTAGCTGGTCTTTTTGTTGATATCTATTTTAAACAATCTAAGGAAAAACTTTTTTTTCAAAGATTTCAACAAAATCTTTAAAATTGAGTAAAAGGGCCAACTCCTACATTTTCCTTGTAGTTTTCCTTGTAACTACATTTATCAAATAGGTGTTTTAAAAAAAACCTAAAGATCATGCGGCTTTTTCCTCTCCCCTCCCCCCCCCACGCACCACCACCACCTCACATAAGCATCAATTTCGTGGTGTAACGAGCGGTCTTACAAGGTTAACCATCAAGACCAAATACGTTTGTCATACTCTATTTAATTTGCATGCCAATTTTTGAATTTTTGTAACATTCAGATAACGTGAACAAAATTTCACTTGCAGTTGGGGGAAAAAATTTGCAGGTGGGGGAAAGGAAAAAGAGCCGTTCCTCATTTTTACACTCCCATATGATAACTTTTTGAAATTTGATTTAGAAAAGGCTATTACCCGCATCCAGTTTCGAGCGTTAATAATCCGTTATAAGATGATTTTAGTACCAGTCTTACAAAAATTAGGAAAAAATTGTTTTTAATCAATTAATAATTGATTTTTATCTCTCTTTTGAAATCAAATATAATTAAATATAATACACTATAATCGATTATAATCGATTATTCTTATCCGAATTTTTAATTCATTTGTTTTGCAGAAAAAATCCATTATAATCGATTATAACTGTTCATAATTTACTTTGTTTGCACATTTTGTCTTCCAAATTGCACCTGAAATGCCTATATTTCTTTTCTTTTTCTAGACATTGGTTTATGTGGAAATGGGAAAATTGTTTTAACAGTTTTCCAATCAATTCAAATTAATAGCGTTTTTTGTTTTTTCATTTCTTCTTGATTATATTTGTTTCATGATGCACATTCTGAATTTTTTTGACAAATAAAATATTAGCACACTGCTTTAGTTTCATGACTTACTTACAAAAGTGACATTTCACCTACCACGGGAACCTTTTAACTAATATGAAGGGATCTCTATGAATTTTTATTTTGTTGTAAAACTTTGTGTTCAGATGAACCAAAGTGTGACAAGACATATCATTTTTAGAGATTTTTGACAGAAACAAGGATTACAATCTTTATAACAGATTATAAGAGATTTTCGGAAAAAATATAATTAAGCCACAAAAAATGTTATCATGACGAATTATAAATCGCTTAACATCTAAATTTGACGCTTCTAATTAATTATAATTTTGATAAAAAATACAATTATAATTGTAAGAGAATCGATTATTTTCTCTTTTTCTTATGACTGCGGGTAGGATGACTTTTGATGCGCTTATCTGCAAATACAACGTGTCAGTATGAACAATTGAAGAGAAGCTTACAACATTTCGGTCCTTCAAAACTCTACATGATCTATTCAAAAGCAATCTTAGCTCTTTTCCACTCCCCCACATTCTAAAATTTCCTTTTTTAGTTGGTTTCCGTGTTATTATGGCTGAATGCGTGACGTTACGACGTAAAATAGGAAAAACAATTGTGTTCACAATAATTATTTTGTTCACTATGCAAATTTTCTTACGTTGTGACAACGTAACTTTAGTGGAGGTAGTGGAAAAGTGCCTTAACATTTTTGGCTCTTTTTCCTTTTCCCCCCACCTCACTTAAACATGAATTTTATGGTCTAACGAGTGGTTTTACAAGGTAAATTATTAGGACCAAATATGTTTGTCATGGCCTAATTAGTCTGCTTGTCAATTTTCATAACAATCGAACAAAGTGAACAGTAACTTCAAATATAAAAATTTGCAGTTGGGGGGGAAAAGGAAAAAGAGCCACATTTTTTTGTAACTTTACGAGGGAGTGGAAAACTGAAAAAAATATCAAAAATCCATTTTTTAAGTTTTTTTTCAAACTTGTCAAAAATTACTTCCCTACGTAAGAGGGCAGTCACTCATGAAAATAGTGTTCTTATCAAATCGAGTTCGAGAACAAAATACAAAAACTGGCCCCATTTCATATTAAAGAAATCTATCACACCTGATTGCACAGTATCGCGACCGACAAATGATTGAAATTTTTAACGTATACACTCATAAATTTTTCCTCCTCTAGCTCTTTCCTGTTATAAACCCTCAATCAAATTAAAGCCCTTCCTCTCGTTATACAATTTACCCGAAATTATTTTCCAGATTTCCACTCCTCTCATAAAATCACAATGAACGTTCCCTAAAAAGTGTTTATAGGGTAGTTTAACAAAAACATTTTTTTAACTCTATTCACTTGTTCACGCTGACATAT